TATCTTGTTATGTTTTATAAATCATAAAGTTAAAAATGGTGCTCATAAAAGAAGGAAATAGTTCCATCTGGGTCACTTTCGGAAGTCTATGGGCAAAGGATTATTAGAGATGCAGGTCTCCCATTTCATGCAAAACTTTTTGTAGTAGTGAATGACAACTACTGTTGTTGGCTTCATGTTAGGTCACCACAGTTAGTTGAAATTCAGGTTGTTAGAGAAAGATTTTGTAGGCTGGACACCTTCTACATTTGGTATCTTACTTGGCATTGGATTAGAGAAAAACAGGGAAAGTAACCTTTGGTACTCTTATGCAATACATAAGTACAATTTCATAAATTTGTTAGCTACCCTTAATAGACTCACAACCAAGGTTAGACAGAAATAGTGGACACAAAATGTTGATGACACTTGCATTTTATGTAAGTGTGACCCAAAAACAAATTAACATTTATTTTTTAAGTGTGGATACGCAAAGTGCATTTAGCAGGAACTTACTAATAGAATTATTAATTATATAATTAATTATTAATTATACACAAAGTGCATTTATTTTGTTTTGGTTGCGATCATGCTCATGATTTTGGAATACAAGTAAATGTGCAAGTATATAGGCCTTAACAAAGAGGTTCTAGCTAGCATGTAGGAACTGGGGTGTGCAAAAGGTACATAGATGGATTGTTGCGTGTAAATTTTGGGTTTTGATGAATTGTTCACTAGTTTGTTCATGATTATGTTGGACCCTTCCTTAGAGGAAAGGAAAATTTTGATTAATGAATGTGTGGGAGCAATATGAACTGAAATTGAAAGCTCATGTTTGGTCGAAAGTCACTATCCAAAATTCAGTTAAAAGTATTCTGAAAAAAAGAAAACTTTGTGCGGGGTGACCAACTCTAATTGCTTTGCGGCATGGCTTTTGTCAAATTAGTGGATTAGTTGGGGTAAAGTGGGGACAATGAATGACTGGGTTGAAGACATTTGTGATAAAGGTAAAGGATTCCTTATTTCCTTTTACACAGCACCATATAAGTGTTAGGAGAATATGATGAGAGTTTTACATATTTTTGCAGAAGCAACTGCTTCTCCACAAAGTAAAACCCAGAAGATACATTTCTTCAAATAAGCAATAGAGAATGACAAGTTGCACATATAAGTGACTGAACAGTGAATAATGCTGCTTTGTTGAAGTATTGAGAATTATGGATTCTAATCTTATCCATAATGTATAGCTTCTGGGGTTTTAAATTTTGTAGTGGTATTGGTGATATCCATGAGGCCTACTTTGTCTCAGATGATCTCTAATTTTGGTAGAACATGATAAAAGACATTGGTGTTTTGTATGACCTGGCCTTTGAAAGGCAATCTGTGGAACATTTAAGATATTAAGTGTTGATAAATGCACAAGCATACAGGGTGGGTGCGTCATAATAGTAAGTCTTGATAGATATTGAATGCCAATTAATCTTTTAGCACTTGACTGCAAGGCTATTAATATTAAAAAAAATAATAAAGAAAGAAAAAAGTCGTCCAAACAGAGGGTTATAGAACAAGCTGTCCGTCCTGAAAGTCCCCCCACCCTATTATTAATCCGTGGTCCATGATCAGCTTCTATTGAAAGGGTATATGCTTCTCACTCGGCATTGACACTGTCCCTACTCTGGCTTTATGAATTTGTGCGTGTCAGCTTTCTAGTTGAGAACATGTGGAGTGGGTTGTACATGTTTTTATGTTTTGCATGGCATTTATGCATCAGAACGTCAATTTGGTTCTTGCTGCTAGTCTTTTGTTAGTGATTTCAATTTGTGAATATGCTGCTATTTCTTTTGAGTCACCTATTTTATTGCATCCTAACTTTGTTCTTTCTAATGTATTTAAATTGCCTGTCTTTCACGATTAGAGACATTCACTGGTGTATATTCATCTCTTTTTCTGGTTCATTCCTGATATCACAGTTGAAGTGTTGAACTTTCAGTAGAGACAGAGCTAGGATTTTCTACTGCTCTCAGCCATATATACTTCTCTTGGAATCTGCTCGTCAGACACTTCATTAGCTGTTTTCTCTGTGCTGCTCTGCTCTTGTGATAGTGCTACACTTGATTCCTAATATAAGATAGAAACATGAGCTGCTTAGCTTGATTTTTTTACAAGTTATCTTCTTTATTAACTGTTGTAAATCACCGAAGAAGGAAGGAGGATTGGGTTTTACAAGTTACTTACCTCTTCAATTTGAATATCTTTACCTCTTCAGTTTGAATAACTTTTGCTATGGTTTTAAATGTTGCATTGTTCTCCTCAGCACCTAGAAATCCATTCTTTAGTTGATCTTTTCAGTTGTTAGCTTTTATTGTTTTAAATACATGAATGGTATGTTAGTGGAGGTCATTATTATTTTTTTTTTTTTCTTATTTAATTTGTTTATCTTGAGGTAATTTAAATAATATTTTGAAAGATTAAAATTGTTAATTTTGATTTTATTAAATTTAAATAATAATTAAAAGAAGATTTAATTTAATAAATAAATTCAATTTTAAATACATAGTATTTTAAAATATCCAAACAATGGATTTAAAAATACATGTATTTGAAATTTATTTTTTTTAATTCAATCCAAACAATGTATTTCAAAATACATGTATTTTAAATACATGTATTTCAATTACACTCATCAAATTCAAATTTAAGTTCCCAAACACAACCTTAATGAAATCTTTTTATATTAATTCATTAATGGCATTTTAGTCATTTTAGTGCCCAAACTGCATTTTTATTATACAATTTAAGCCAAAAAAGTCAAACCCTAAAG